GGAGGAACTCAAATCATTCTACAAAAAAGATACCTGCATATACATGTTTATTGCAGCACTATTCACAATAGCAAAAACATGGAGCCAACCTTGCTGCTCATCGAAACTGGACTGGATAAAAAAATGTGCTACTAGTCGGGCTTGGTGGCTCAGCCTGTAATCCTGGGCCTTTGGGAGGCTGAGGTGAGTGGATTGCCTGAGGCCGCGGGTTCGAGACCCGCCTGGGCAGCGAGACCTCATCTCTACAATAAATCAAAAAATCAGCTGGGCGTGGTAGCGCGTGCCTGTAGTTCCAGCTACTTGGAAGGCTGAAACAGAGTACTACATGTTCTCACTCATAAGTGGACCCTGAACGTTTACCATAATACTATAAGAAAGGAATTGCCAGTATCAGGATACTGCTAGGGTTAAGGGGGACACAACGTCAATAAGGGTACCTGATCTCAAACCAGGCAAAATGGGAACCAAAGGGAGGCCCAAACTTTACCTGTATGATGGCCTCTTGTATACCTAATCCTGAATTATACCCCACATCTTTAAAATAAAATAAAGTTGAGAGGCACTGGAAAAAAAACTGTGCCTCCTAAATATGTTTAAAAAATCATCATAGATATAACTTTTTTGGGCATATAACAATAACAAAAAAATGAATGAAAACAAGTGTTGGACAGAATGTGGAGAAAGTGAGCACTCCGTTGGTGGGAAAGTTAATTACTACAGTCAATACTGAAAACAGTTTAGAGGTTCTTCAAAAAAATGAAAGTGGAACTACCAGATCATTCAGCAATCCCACTACCAAATATACATAATCAAAGGAAATGAAATCAGTATGTTTGAGAGATATCTTCACCCCTTTCATTGTAGCATAGCATTAGTCTTAACAGTCAAACTACAGGATCAATTCAAGTGTTTACCAACAGGTGAATGTATATAGAAAATGCCATATAAACCGGGCTCGGTGGCTCAGCCTGTAATCCCGTGCCTTTGGGCTGAGGTGAGTGGATTGCCTGAGCCTGCAGGTTCAAGCCTGGCAACTTGGCGAGACCTCATCTCTACAACAAATCAAAAATTTAGCTGGGCGCGGTAGTGTGCGCCTGTAGTTTCAGCTACTCTGAAGCCTGAGGCGGAAGGATCGCTGGAGCCCAGCAGGTCGAGGCTGCGATGGCCGGGAGTATGCCCCTGCCCTCCAGCCTAGGCGACAGAGTGAGACTTCAACTAAAAAAAAAGAAAAAAAAAAAAAAAGAAAATGTCATATATGTATATACAAAATGGAGGTCTAGTCAGCCTTAAAAGCTGATGTACTTTCATTTGCATATGCATAGATGAACCTGGAGGACATTACATTAAGTGAAATAAGCCAGACACAGAAAGACAAATACCCCTCTTGTCACTTATATATGGAATCTTAAAACATTGGACTCACAGAAGTAGAGAATAAAACGGTGGTTATCAGAGGCTGGGGGTGGGAGGAGGCAGTTGAGATGATGTTGGCTTAAAGCATACAAAATTCCAGTTAGATAGGAGGAATCAGTTCAAGAGATCAATTGTACAACATGGTGACTATAGTTAATAACAATGTGTTGTACTCTTAAAAATTGCTAAGAGTGAATTTATGTGTTCTCATCACAAATAATATTAATTATGTGAGGTAATGCATATGTTAATTAGTTTGATTTATGCATACATATTTTAAAACATCATATTGTACGTGATTAATATAAACAATCTTTGGGGTCAGTTATATAAATAAATAAAAATTATAACAAAAAAGAAGACTTTTGCATAAAAAACACATATTCAACCTGACCAGGACTCAGTCACATATATACATGGTACGGTTTTTCAAGAATCTTTCTTATAGTGTACCTTAAGTACACAAACTACAGCAAATGTTTATTAATGCCTATGCTCATGAAAATTTTATTTATGCTATCAATTACTTGTCAACAAATATTGAACAAGAAAATACTAGTTGGCTAAAATACAATATACCCACAAAACAGTATATTATATACTTTTTTTAAAATTAGAAAATATAGTTTATTTAAAAAGTAAGAGAGGGAGAAAAAGAGAAAATAAAGAGGAGATTTATGTCCCCAAGGTAGGGAAGGGGGCCAAAGCCAGGAAACATGGCCACAGTCATAGCTCAGAGAACATGGCCACGCCAGAGTCTAGTAAGACAATGGCCTATTATATGCTTTTAAAACTTAATAATTGTGTACCTTTTTCTCCACATCCTCGCCAGCATCTGTTGTTTGTTTTATTTTTGTTCTACACTGCTGGTGGGAATGCAAACTAGTGCAACCTCTTTGGAAAACAGTTTGGTGATTTCTGAAAGAACTGGAAATTGACCTTCCATATGACCCAGCAATCCCCCATTGGGAATATACCCAGAGGAACTCAAATCATTCTACAAAAAAGATACTTGTACACGCATGTTTATTGCAGCACTATTCACAATAGCAAAAACATGGAACCAATCATGTTGCCCATCAAAGCTGGACTGGATAGAGAAAATGTTGTACATATACACATTGGAATATTATGCAGCCATAAAGAAGGACAAATATATGGACTTTGCAACAACTTGAATGGATTTGGAGTCGATCATACTCAGTGATCTATCACAGAAACAAAGAACAGAGTATCATATGTTCTCACTCACAATTATAACACTATAAGAAAGCATTTGACAGTAATGGGAAACTGTCAGGGGAGGAGGGTGGGATTGGCAGTAGAGGGAAACTGCTAGGGGAGGGAGGGGCATACCTCATCAACAAGGGTGCCTCATAATCAATGTTTGTATACCTAACCCTGAATTGTATCCCACACCTTCATAATAATAATAAAAAAAATTGTGTATAATTTTTGATGACAGAGGAAAACACTTGTTATATAACATTATGCAAAAAAGAGCAAGACATAAATATTTAATTATATGAAAGTATGCTAAAATGAGAAAATATTTTGTGATTATAAACTATTTTGTTTAGTGGGTGTGATTATTCATCTTTAAAATGCTGCTTTGTTAGTTTGTATTTTTATATCCAGGGATATAAAAAATTAAACTAATGTAATTCTTGTTTGATTTTGAAATACTTCTGAAGAGCACAAAAGAAACAATGGAAAAGACTGCTAACTTGACGAAGTAATATGTTAGGACACAGGTATAACTAAAATTAATGGACAGACAAAATAGATAAATGTTTTAATAAATACAAATTTTTTGGACAACTGAAACATTTGAAATATGCTACATACTACTAATAATAAAATGGATAAGTAAATTGTGATTGTTTCATAAATTGGCATATTTTACAACCAGCAAAAATTATAAGATATAATAAATATTTATGAATCTATGTGAAAATAATAGTTTCATACATGTAAAAATATATAAAAGAACAAAGAAAAAGCATTCTAAAACAAACTAATTATAAAACAAACTAATAGAAATAATACATATACTTCCTTTATCTATTTCATTATCTCCATCATTTAAATATAATTTTATAGTTTTACAATTTACAAAGAAATGTATTTTAAACATCTTGATTTAATGCCTACTCTTTGAGATGATATAATGGACACCTTAGGAGGAACATATATGGAAAGGTGAGCCTGCTCTTAACTGGGAAATGAACACTAAATAAACAATTACAATGACATGTGAAAAATGGTTTTAAAAAAGAGTATATTTGGCTAAATTACATATGGCACATTCTTGTACTGAATACAATAGAGAGGCATTAAAAATGTCTGCAAAGGCCTATATCTTTGGCATGGGAATAAGTCCACATCATTTTGCTAAGTGAGAAGGGTATATCTGAAAGAGTAAGTAGACTATAATCCAATTTTAAAATATATTTGCCCATACATTCACAGTAGAAAATATATCACAATCTAGAAAATGATATTGGCAGTGAATATCTCGATGTTAAAAAAGTGAATGATTCACAGTAGAAAATATATCACAATCTGGAAAATGATATTAGCAGTGAATATCTGATGTTAAAAAAGTGAATGATTCACAGTAGAAAATATATAACAATCTAGAAAATGATATTAGCAGTGAATATCTTGATGTTAAAACTGTGGATAATTATCGTACAGATTTTATTTCCTCTCTATTATCTAAGATGAGATGAGTGAGTAGTTTCAAGAATGAGAAAATGCTTGACTGTGTCTAATGTGACTGATGTGTCAGGTGAGATGTCGGTTGAGTGTTGACTACAATTTAGCAGTGTAGAGGTTCCTGTGACACGCAGTGCCAGTGTTGTAGGAATAAAGTCTGGCTGGAGTGAGATCAAGAAACATAGGGAGAAAGATATTGAATCCTGACTGTATCTGCAACTCTCTTTTAATATTAAAGAGATGTTTCATGGCAATGGAGAGAGAGAGAGAGAGAGAGAGAGAGAGAGAGAGAGAGAGAGAGAGAGAGAAAGAGAGAGAGAGAGGGAGAAAACAAGTCATAGGGGAATATGGGTGTCAGAGGTCCCTCTCCTGCCTTCCTTCATTCTTTCCTAATAGGAGGAATATCAAAATGTAGACAGATAAAAATGAGCGTATAAAAAACAAAATTTGTGATAAAGAGGACAGGGATAAGAATGCCTAAGGTAGATAAGAGGAACAGAAGATAGTTCACCCCATCAAGGCATGAAGCAAACCAGAAACGATTAGTCCAGCAATTATCCATAGTTCATCTCTCTCCACATTTTATCTGGTGCTATAGACTAAAAGTGAATTAAAAAGGTGAACTAATCTATTTATCAGACTCAGAATGAGATAAGTCATTGAGTCACCAAAAAATTGATCTCTTATTATTGACTGGAGGCCTTGAAGATCACCAAAACTTCCCTAGTGGGTTTGTTCCAGAAAGACAGACTCATTTAGGTATTTATTTAGTCCCATTTGCTTCTCAACTTCTAGGACTGCTAAAGTTCACCTCCTGTATTGCTAGCAATGTTGAGAGAACAGTAGTTTGGCTTTCATTCCTAAAGTCATTTCACTTTTGGAAACAAGACATGAATCACTTGGTCCCAGATCTGTTTGGTCTTGATTCCATAAATGATGGGATTCAGCATGGGGGGAGCTAGAATGCAGACATTTGCCAGCAGTACGTGAATATGGGGTGCGATGTGGCGTCCAAACCGCTCAGTGAGCACTGAGAAGATCCCAGGCCCATAAAAGAGGATGATGACACTGACATGGGAACCACAAGTATTGAGAGCTTTGTGGCGAGCATCTTGGGATGGGATGTGGAAAACAGCTCGGAGAATATGCATATAGGAAATAAAAATTAGCATGACATCTAAAATCACTGTTGACATTAAGACAAAAAAACCATACCAGATGTTTACTCTGATGTCATCACAAGAAAATTGGGCCAGGCCAATGTGCTCACAACAAGTGTGTGGAAGAACGTTACTTCTGCAAAAAGTTAGTCTTTTCAGAAGAAATATTATGGGGAATATTGTACCATAACTTCTCAGAAAGATAACCACTCCAATCTTACCAATCAAGGAGTTTGTGAGAATAGTGGTGTATCTCAGTGGGTAGCATATGGCAACGTAGCGGTCGAACGCCATCGCCAACAAGATCCCTGACTCAGAGATGAAGGTGGAGTGGATAAAGAAGAGCTGAGTGATGCAGCGATCCAGGGAGATCTCCCCCGCATGGAACCAGAAGATGGCCAAGGCCTGAGGGACTGTGGTCGTGGAGAGGACTAGGTCTGCTCCGGCCAGCATGCAGAGGAAGAGGAACATGGGTTCATGGAGGCTGCGCTTCGTGAGGATAATGAAGATGAGGAGGCTGTTCCCAAGTAGAGCGATGGCATAGGAGATGAAGAAAGGGATAGAAAACCACATGTGCTGGTCCTCGAGGCCGGGGATGCCCAGCAAGTGGAAGACTGTGTGGCTAACACCAGTGTGGTTTAAGGTAATCATATCCTATGCCGATGACCTGGGACCTCACTTCTTGTTTATATAGAGAGACAACATTCATAATATACTCAAATTTTTTTAAAAAAGTCACCACAGGTTTATGGCATCTGCTTGATTCTTTTTCATAGTTGTTGTGCCAGGAACTATACAGGATGAGAAGACGAATATATCATCTGTTTCTTCAATAAGTTAATAATCTTACAGACGGGATAGACATTCACACTTAAATAATATGCTAAGTGAACACATTAGTGGCACAAGACCTGCTAGAGGAACACGATGCAAAGAATAATTTGGTTTATTTGACTGCAGGATGTCACTGGGTAGAAGTGAACTAGGTGGAAAATGGGGTAAAATCATTTGGGAGTTTAAGTAAAGGCTGTTAGCACCATTATCATAATACTATAAGAAAGGGATTGGCAGTGGTGGGAAACTGTCAGGGGAGGTGGGGTGGGATTGGCAGTTGAGGGAAACTTCTAGGGGAGGGAGGGGCACATCTTATCAACAAGGGTACCTGCATAATCAATGTTTGCATACCTAATCCTGAATTGTACTCCACATATTTATAATAAAAAAGAAGACTTTTAGCATAGAAATATTTAATGCATTTAAAGCAGTGTGTATCCTATGTAGCTGTATGATTACATATATTAGGCAACAGTAGAAAGATAGAAACAGTATATTGGCTCTGATTATAAATTAAGGTGCTTGGATCCTATTTTGTGAGGAACTGGTCGGCCATCATGGGTTTTCACACTGAAGAGTGTTAGGTGTATATATCTGGAGTGGTTAGAGAATGGATTAGAAAGGAGAAGTAATCTAAAAGGAAAGTATAATGCTTTCCTTAGTAGAAGAAAATGATGTATCGACATAATATTTTTACAATAAAACAGGATTAACAAAACTACTTTTAAAATTACTCATTTTATGTTGGGTACTGTTGTAAAAACATAACTTAGAGTACCTTGTTTATTACTTGTAGCGACACAGGAGAGTAATATTATCATCTGCAATTTTTCAGAATATGAAGATGAGGGTCATTGAACTTGGCACAGTTAGTAAGAAATAAAATATTTCTGGAATTTGAACATTATCTAACTGTAGAATACATCATTGTCTGATCTGTGAAATGAGTCAAGGAGTAAGACACCATACTTAGCTGAGGAAAATTGACAAGGCCTTATGGTTGGCAGTGAAAGGGGGTGGGCAGAGCCCCTGAGCACGTTGCCATGCCCTATCCCCTGTATTTATGCCACAAGGGTTTTGAAATAATATATAATTGAATTTCCAACAGTTTTTGATATTTGGATTCTTTTTTGTTTCTTTAACTATCAGTAGCAAACTTCTTCTTTTATGCATTTCTAGAATATAGCACACAAAGATTGGATGAGAATAAAGAAAGAGCAGAATATTTACAGTAGTCAGGACCTGTCATCTTCCTATTATTGACCTCAGGGGTCCTTGGCACAGTTAAGGTAAAAAGACTTCCATGGCCTCTTGTTCTCCTCTCCTACACACCACTTCCCATTCCACTGGGATCACCCATATTTGTAACTCTGGTCTTCTTTACTCTGCCTATTTAACTCCAGACAAAGGTTCTAATATTCTCAAATACCTACCTTAGGTCCCATAACCTGCTAGTCTGAATGGGATACTCTGCATTTCCTCTCCTCCCAAAAAGTTTTACCCCTAATTAGTAAATAACATACTTGCCTGCTTTGAATGGAGTTTTCATAGCCTAGAAAGGGATGTGTCACAGGAGGACTCTGAGCAGTGGAGGGGACAGAGATATTTATGCATTTGCCTAAAGATCCCAGGGGAAGTGATGACTCCAGAGAACCTAGATTTAGAGGTATACTTTCAACAACCCCTCCATTACACACACATGAGTCAAGTTATAATCCTCTAAGCCAGTGCACAACACCTTCTTCACAACTCCATCCCTGGATTAGATGACCACGTGTATTATCTGCAATAAATAAAATGTTAGTGTTACCATACCAAATATTACTGTTTTCATTTTAACAAGAATTATTAAATATTAACTCTATTTCAAATCAGCACAAAACGTTAACTATCCAATGTACAGATTATTTTAAAAAGTTATTCCCGCAAGGCTTTCTTTATAATTTAGTCAAATTTAAAATGAAATTTGTACCACATTTGTCATATCACTTCATATTCTGGAAACTGAAACAATGAATTTTGATTGTTAATGTCAGAGAGATTTAATGTATTCATTAAAATTTTAATGTCTGTAATATAATTACATACATCAAGTTATAAAGAAGTAATAGTCTCTATGTTCCATTCCTTTGGCTGTCAGCAAATCTACAATTAATGCTCAGTGGCCACATTCCCAATATCTTTCTGTTGGTGACGTATCTCCACCCTTTAGATATTCTCTGTGGTTTGTCTTTGTTAAATTAGTCCAAACAAGTGGTATGCATATATTTGTAAAGAAGAGATAGCTTTGTTTGTGCATGTGTATAATGATACACTTATTGACTTCTATTTAAAATGGTGGATTGAGTTTACTCAGAAAGACTCAATTCCTACGTAACTTATAGAAATGCTTGATAAAATATTATTTCTTCATTAAATGTTTATTTTGAGAATATTAAAACAGAAAAGCTACAAAAACATTACCATAAATTTCAATAAAAGTTTCATGTAGATTCAGTCATATTTGGCCACATTTTTCCCTCTCATTCTTATTCTATTTTTTCTGTACCATTTTAGTAAAATATGAAGGATTATGAACCTTCTTTTTCTTTTTTTGAGTCAGGAGCTCACTCTGTCATCCAGACTGGAGTACAATGGCATGATCACAGCTTACCACAGCCTCCAACTCTTTGGCTCAAGCAATCCTTTTTCCTTAGCCTCTCAAGTGGCTGGAAGTAGCCAGAAAGCTCAGTTATTTTTTTAAACTTTCAACAAGTTTAGGGGGTAAAAATAGATTTTGATTTGGGCTTTAAGTGTAGCCTCCACCCCCATCTGTGCACATTGTACCTAACAGGTGATTTTTCATCCTTCCACCCCTTTCCTCCCTCTCCTTCTGAGTCTCCAGTGTCCTTTCTTCCATTCTCTATGTCTCTGCAGAACCTTGCTTTAGCACCCGCTTATAAGTGAGAACATGTGGTGCTTGGTTTTCTGTTTCTGCATTAGTTTGCTTAGGATGATGGTCTTCAATTCCATCCAAGTTGCTGCAAAAGATACTATTTCATTCTTTTTGATACCTCAATAGTATTCCATATTGTGTAGATACCACATTTTCATTATCCACTGATTGGTTGATGGGCATTTAGGTTGATTTCACATCTTTGTAATTGTGAATTAGCTGCGATGAGCATGTGGGTGCAGGTGTCTTTTTTTTTTAATAATGACCTTCAGTTCCTGGGATTGCTGGATCAAATGGTAGATCTACTTTTAGTTCTTTGAGAAATCTCCATACCGACTGCACTAATTTACATTTCCAACAGTGTATAAATGTTCTGTTTTCTCTGTATCCATGCCAGCATCTAGTTTTCTTTCATTTTAAAATAATGGCCATTCTGATGGGTGTAAGGTGGTATCTCATTGTGGTTTTAATGTTCATTTCCCTGACGACTAATGATGTTGAATATTTTTTCATATGTTTGTTGGTCATTTGTATATTTTCTTTTGAGAGATATCTGTTCATGTCGTTTGCCCACTTTTTAATGGGGTTATTTGTTTTTTTCTGCTGATTTGTTTGAGTTCTTTGTAGATTCTGGATATAAGTCCTTTGTCAGATGCATAGTTTATGAATGTCTTCTCCCACTCTGTAGGTTGCTTATTTGCTCTGTTGATTATTTCTTTTGCTGGGCAGCAGCTTTTTAGTTTAATTAAGTCCCACTTATTTATTTTTGTTTTTATTGTTTTTGCTTTTGGGGTTTTAGTCATAAATTCTTTGCTTAGGCCAATGTCCAGAAGAGTTTCCCCTGGGTTTTCTTCTAGAATTTTTATGGTTTCAGGTCTGACATTTAAGTCTTTAATCCATCTTGAGTTAATTTTTGTATATGGGAAGAGACAGGCATCAAATTTCATTTTTCTGCATGTTGTTATCCTATTTTCCCAGCACCATTTGTTTAATAGGGTGTCCTTTCTCCAGTGTATGTTTTTGCCTGCTTTGTCAAAGATCAGTTGGTTGTAGGTATTTGAGTTTATTTTTGGATTCTCTATTCTGTTCCATTGATCCATGTGTCTGCTCCTATATCAGTACCATGCTGTTTTGGTTACTACAGCCTTGTAGCATAATTTGAAGTCAGGCAATGTGATGCCTTTGACTTTATTCTTTTTGTGTAGAATTGCTCTGGTTATTCAGGCTATTTTTTGGATCCATATGAATTTTAGAATTGTTTTTCTAATTCTGTGAAAAATGACATTGGTAGTTTGGTAGAGATTGCTTTGAATCTGTAGATTGCTTCGTGTAACATGGTCATTTTACCAGTGTTGGTTCCTCACGGGATATTTCTCCACTTGTGTCCTCTGCAATTTCTTTCACCAGAGTTTTGCAGTTCTCTTTGAACAGGTCCTTCATCTCCTTGATTAAGTATATTCCTACGTTTTGACATAGTAGACACTGAGGAAAGGACACTGTATTCAACAAGTGGTGCTGGGAAAATTGGATAGCTACATGAAGAAGATGAAACTTGATCCCTATCTCTCATCACATACAAAAATCAACTAAGATGGATTAAAGACTTAAATCTCAGACCTGAAGCCATAAAAAATTTTAGAAGAAAACCTGGAAAAAACTCTTCTGGAATAAATAAATATTCCTAAGTATTTTAGTTTTTTGGTTACTATTGCTAATGGTATTGAGTTCTTGATTTGATTCTCAGTTTATTTGTTACTGGTGTATAGCAACGCTAATGATTTGTTTGTGTTGTATCCTGAAACTTTACTGAATTCACTTATCAAGACCAGGAGTCTTTTGGAGGAGTCTTTAGGATTCTCCAGGTATAAGATCATATCATCAT